AAAAAAAAATGGGTTTTCTTTTCCTTTCAAATTTAATGAAGCATTAAAAAACCAAAATGAGTAAAAGTCCACATTCAAGCATTCCTTTTAATCTATGTCTTTCTTCCTTTATCTTTACCTTCCTTTCAGAAATCCCCTATAGGGTATCCCAAAACTCACAGCTAATAAATGGCCTGCAGCCCAGAGTGACATATGTCCTGTGGATGACAGCTCTGACAGCTGCTGGTGAAAGCCCCAGAGGAAATGAGAGGGAATGTTATCTGCAAGGTAAGAGACTGCTTTAAAGACGGCAAGCCCACTCTAGATTCTGCATATACACTCTCACTACATTTGGCATGGAGATTATCTGGTTTCCTTTAATTCATTAATTACTTTCTTGCTGCCACATGCCTGTACTTGCCGAGACAGTGCCAGCAAGTTTGCCGACATGTCATTGGACATGTTTCTTCCTCAGAAAGTTTCCCAAATGCACTTCTCTGTTTTCTTCATAATCCACTACAGACGTATTACACACACGACCCTAACTCCTAACTCTGAGTCTAGTAGGACAGGGACGGCTATCTGTTTATCTCTATCCCCAAGGCCTAGAATAGGCTCCAGCACATGTTCACAAAATAGCTGTTCAATGAATGATGGGAGTAATAGCAACAATAAAAACAGCAGCAATTGCATATCAGATGCTGGCCATTGTAGTAAGTGCTCTGCACACCTTTGATCATTTCATCCTTACAACAACCATGTAAAGTACCTGAGACGTGCTACCAGACACTCAAGATGAAATGAATGAAAGAATGAGGGATAATTATGCCTTTTTACAAGTGAGGGAACCAAAGTACAGAAAGATTACCCAAGATCATAGAGGTAGTAAGTGGCAGAACTACCAATCAACTGAGATTTGAGTCACATAAATTAATTTTGAGTATATGACTAAGTGACCCAGCTGACATGAGCTTCCCTCCTCCAGCTAAGTTAGCACTGTTTTCTTTGGCAAAGCTTTCTTGCATCTGCTCCAAGTGTCTTGCTTTGTGACATATATCACTTTGCTTTGATCATTCAGGACCTTGCTCTATGTCAGGTACCTCTCCACTAGAGAAACTGGCAAGCCCTCTTCTCATCTCCCCAGCATGCCTGTGAAGGTTAACTTAAGAATAATTAATGGAGGTTAAGAATTCAGCATCTTTCTGCAAGTGGGAATCCAAACTTGTGCCATCTGCCTAGGAAGGAAAGCAGATGCTGAAGAAATGTCACATGCTGCCAACTGTGTGGGATGGAAACAAGGCTGCCTCCATTAACTCCTCAGTTCAGGTCCTGTTAATGCATCTCTCACAGGGGCTAACTTGTTCTAACGCTCCCACACACACACTTCACCCTTCCTTCTAGCCTCTCGATTCAACCAGAAAAGTCATTCTGTTAAGACACCCAACACTCTCATTTAACCAAGGGCCTTCAAGTTAGAATTCAAACTCCCTATTTACCAGGCCTTGCGTGATCTTGTGTCATTCCCCACCATTCTGTATGCTAAAGGGACTGTTTCCCGCTCAGCTCCTTCTGTGCCTTTGCATAGTTTCCTTTGCCTACTCTTTTCTTCCCAAACTTGTCTGCTTAGCTGACTCCTATCCATCCTTCAACTCTAAACTTTTGACATTGTGAAGGCACAGAGACAAGATGGCATCTTGTTAGCAAAATCCACCAATTCGCTCATCAATGAAATCTCAAAACTTGGGTGAAACAGATAAACTTTTGACACTGTAATTTTTGTGAAATCCTCCTGAGCTGTTCATGGAGCAGTTTCTCAATGGTTCTCTGCTGCACTGCCTTTTCCGTGCCAGTGTTTTTACATGTATCCTGTGGCATTATGGTATATGGTTTACATGTTTACACATCTGTTTCCCATACTATTTTTATGACTTCTTAAGACAGCATGTCCTATTCTTTTTTCCATCCCAGCACCTGACAGAACTAAGTACTCAATAAATGTTGGATGAATTAATTAATGACTCCAACAAGTGGTGAAATGCTGTAGTTCTTTTCATAGGAAGGAACAGGAATAACTTCTAAGACCTTAGACAGGTAGAGAGCCTATACAATGGTTTAGGAAAATGAATAGTTACTACTTCTTGAGGGCCTCCTATGTTCAGATACTCTGCTATGTGCTTTGAATACACCATCTCTAATCCTCATAACACCCTGCAAGGTAGACATCATCATTCACATTTTATAGACCATGAGATTGGAGTCCAAAGATTACCTATCTATTAGTGGCCAAAACAAGACTAGAAACTCAGGGTTTTCAATTTACAGTCACTGTTTTGTGTAACACAAAACCACTGCCGTTGAGTCAATTACAACTCATAGCAACAATACAGGACAGAGTACAACTGGCTCACAGCGTTTCTAAGACTGTAAATCTTTATAAAAGCAGACTTCCTCATCTTTCTCCTGCAGAATGATTGGTGGGTTTGAACCACCAACCTTTTGGTTAGCAGCCTAATGCTTTAACCACAGCACCACAGCTTTTTATAAACACCCCATTTCCTTCTTCTCCTCCTCCCTTAGAGCCATAGTATAATCATCCTTAAGGCCAACTGAATCTACATAAACTATTAGACCTTGTTCCTGAACCCAGCCACCTAGAAGCTGTGGGTAGGGCTCATGGGGTTCACACAACAGTATTTTGAAATGTTCATTGAAGAGAACTTAGTCACAGGATTTGTTAACTTTTTAGGTAAAGCCAGTTGGAATGTGGTTGTGGCACCCAGCATTTGCATCGCTGTCATCATGGTGGGCATTTTCTCAATGCGTAACTTCCGGCAAAAGTGAGTTGGTTACACCTGCCAATTTGGTAAATATATGCTTTTAAACAATAACAGTTGTTTCTGCTAAGGATCAGGGAAATGAACACTCTCATATATTACTGGTGGAAGATTAAATTTATTCAAACTCTCTGAGCAATAGAAGATTTAAAAATATTACACCTTTTGAACTAACAATTCCTCAAGAGGAATTTGGTCTAAGTATATCATAGATATATGTAGATATTTAGTCAAATATGTTCACCGAAATACTGTTCAGAAAAGGAAAAAGAAATTGTAACCTAAGTGCCCGATTATATAGGATTTCTTTAATAAATCATAGTCTATACCATATTATAGCAATGTTATACCTCACTGAAGATATGTAGAGGAGAATTAAATGGCAGATAAGGGTATTTGCTATATATTATATAGAAAAAAGAAAAGCAGGTTGCAAAACAATATGTGCTTGCATTTAAAAAATAGTGTGTATACATATATACACATGTACATATGAAAGGTATCTTAATTTGGTTGTATATAACATAAAAGACAAAATAATATGTTTAAACTAGCTAACAGTTTCTCACTCTGGTAAAGGAAGTAAACTCTGTTAAAGGGCCAGTGTGGTAGGTTCACAGTTTTCAGGGACATAAGCTCCATCTATCTCTCTGCTCTGCAATCCTAAAATTGCCTTCCATCCTCACATTCACCTCATGGTCCAATGGCTGCAAGAACTACAAATATAGAAAGAAGGGAAGGAGGTTCCATACTTCTCTTTAAAGGAGGCTTTGAGAAGTCACATAATTGCTAGATAGGTAAAAGACAAGTATTGATTTGGGTGAAGGGAAAGGCAATACACCAAAAGTCAGTGACCAACACAATAACACTAAGGAAAAGAAGACACAGAGACGTGCACAAGAGGTACAGACAACAGAGAGAAACCCTTTTACATACACAATATTACATTATCAGTAATAACAAACATTAATCTACAGGCAGATATATAAGTAGACAGGCTGAATGAATAGGTATATCTAGGCAAAAAGGAATATACTCCTGACCATATATAAGTTTGGCAGATGATATTTCTACATGTGTATTTGTTGGGCTATAAAGAATGTCCATATATAGAACTAACAGGGGACAAAGTTATAATAACTTTTTAGTCACAGCCAACCACCCTGAGGGAGCAAGTTGTTAGGCCTATGGGCTTGGGACCGTGGTTGCAGGGGACATCAAGCTCAACTGGCATGACATACTACACAGAAACATTGTTCTACATCCTTCTTTGGTGAGTAGTGACTGGGATCTTAAAAGCTTGCAAGCAACCATCTAGATGGAATGATGGGTCTCTTCTCATTAGGAGCAAAGAAGAATGAAGAAAACCAAAGATGCATGGGAACAGTCACAGAGACTAGTGGACCATGCAAGCCTCAGCCTACATGACCCTGAGACCCAAGAAACTAAATAGTGCCTGGCTACCACTGTCAACCACTCAGACAGGGATCAAAACAGGAAATCCTGCACATATAGTGGAAGAAAAATATGGAACAAAACTCAAAATCATAAAAAACACCAGGCTTACTGGTCTGATAGAGACTGGTGAAACCCCTGAGACTATTATCCCTTGTCACTCTTTGGCCCTAGAATTGAACTCACTCCTGTGGCTTCCAGCCAAACAACAGATAGGCATATAACGTGAATGTTCATACCAGATAGGTATATGCCTTACAACCAACCATGGGAGACCAGAGGGCAGTATTTGCACAGGGAGATAGCTCAGAGGGCAGGAATGCACAGGAAAGGGGGACACAGGGAGGAAGTGGGAAGAGAGCTGTTACATTATGGGGATGCAATCAATGTCATAGAACAAAATGTGTATGAACTGTTGTATGGGAAATGAACTTGCTCTGTACACTTTCACCCAAATCACAACTAAAAAAAAAAAAAAAAAAAGAACAAATCACTCATGACACTTTTGATTATATCTCATTGGCCAGCACTTGATGAGGCAAAGAAAACTTAAAATGTGTTCCTTTAGTCAGGTTCATTGTCACCCCCAAAATCAGAGTTCTCTTCCTAAGGAAGAGGGGGAAATGGAATACTGGGTGACAATTAGCTCTTTCTGCCCCAAGGATGGGTCAGTAGGTGGTGCAAATGGTTTGCACTTGACTACTAACCTAAAGGTTGACAGTTCAAACTCACCCAGAAGCACCATGGAAGAAAGGCCTGGCAATCTGCTTCCATAAAGATTACAAAAAAAAAGAAAACCTACTGCCGAGTCAGACCTGCCTAATAGCAACCCCTCTTTGGGTTTCCAAGGTGGTATCACTACGGAAGTAGATTCCCCAACCTTCCTTCTGAGGAGTGGCTGGTGGGTTTGAACTGCCAGCCTTCTGGTTAGCAGTCAAATGCCTTAGGCACTACACCACCAATGATTACAGCCAAGAAAACCCTATGAAGCAGTTCTACTGTATAACGTATGGAGTTGCCATGAGCTGAAACTGACTCAACAGCAGTGGGTTTGGTTGGTTGGTTATTTGTTTTTGCCCCAAGGATGTACACCAAAATATTGGTGGTTGTAACAGGGTTAGGATCATAGATTACTTTAGATCTATTTAACTGTATTTTCTAAAATTTCTTTAGTAAATATGTATTATTTTGTAAAGAGAGAATTGTTTTTTTAATGAATTATTCTTCAAATGCTGTGTAATGTAACAGAAAAGGTCAAATTAAACTAACTCAAAGTCATTGAACCCATCTGAAAGACTTTATATTTATTTAAGATCCAATGTGTGATAGATGCTTCAAAGCACGGCTCTCTTTTGGTAGACTTTGAAAAACATTAACTCAAATACAGTAAACTAGGATCACATATGGGAGCTCTGGTAGCACAGTGCCTAAGGCACTTGACTGCTAACCAGAAGGCTGGCGGTTCAAACCCACCAGCCACTCCTCTGAAGGAAGAATGGGCAATCTACTTCCGTAGTGATACCACTTCGAAAATCCAAGGAGGGGTCGCTATGAGTCGGGTCCCACTCGATGGCAAACAACAACAACAGGATCACATACATCCTCTTCTGGGTAGGAGTGGGTATCAGGATGAAGGCTAAGCTTCTATAATAAATAAATCGATCCCCAAAATAAAGTGGCTTAAACAAAACAGAAGTTTAATTCTCTTTCATATAATACTGCAGAAGTAAGTCATCCAGGTTGGTGGGCAGCTCATTGAGGGATTTAGTCTTCTTTCATCTTACTGGCCCACAAATACCATAGCATCATCCTCATCTGTATGGCCTGTACTAGGTCACAGGCACCTCTGCTCACATTTGTTTGGAAAGAAATTAGTCACATGGCCATTTCTCTGGCTTTAAAAATCTTAAATGCATTATAGAAGTTTATCATTCTCATGAAACATGAAAGTTTATTAAAGCTAAGACAAGTGTATTTAAAAAAATTGTCACATTAGTCTTGAGTTTTTAAAAGATATTAAAAATATTTGTCAAAAGTATAAGAAATATTTTTAGGATTTTTTCTTTTGACATTATAAACATTATATATACTCATTTTAAAATATTTTAAAAACTCAGACATGTAGAAAGGGAAAACAAAAAGACCCACAGTTCCTCCCATCACCAAATATAATCATTGTTAGCAGTTTGCATTTATTTTCCTGATACTTTTTCTTTCTTTCTTTCTTTCTTTTCTTTTTTTTTAACATAGTTATGTTCAAGATATTTATACCATTTTGTACCCTATTTTTTTTCTTTCAGTAAAATAACTTCCCTGATATTACAATCTCTTTGTAGATATTCAAATTAGTAAACTTCCCAAGGGTAGGGACCATGTCTTCTTTGCTGTTGTACCCATAGTGTGTGACACTATGCTGGTCATATATCAAAGAAACCAAACTCACTGTCATCCAGTCGATCCTGACTCATGGTGACCCCTCCTTGGGTTTCCGAGGCAGTATCACTACAGAAATAGATTGCCCAACCTTCATTCCAAGGAGTAGCTGGTGGGTTTGAACCGCCAGCCTTCTGGTTAGTAGTCAAATGCCTTAGGCACTATGCCACCAGATCTCCTGGTCTTGCATCAGGGTTCAATGATGTTTTCTGAATGAAGCACACTTGGATAGTGACAGACAGTCAAACATTTCATGGAGTATAAGTTCCATGGTTTATTTAGCAAATTCCAAATGGCTGAACCACAACTATTTATCAAGTGAAACTTCACAGAAAACTACTCCAGCCTTGGCTAATATATCATCTTTCTCCTTTAGTGTTTATATTTATTCATTTGCCTACAAAAGCAAGCCACGCACTGAAATCACTGCCCTAAGAACCTGTGCTTCCAGGCCAGTGTGTGCACATTTAACCAGATGTCACTGTTTTTTTAATCTACAGGGTATTTTTTCTCCTTTCGGCCCTCAGACCTCAGTGGTGTAGCAGAGAAATTCCAGACCCAGCGAATAGCACTTGGGCTAAAAAATATCCCCTCATGGAGGTAATGTATAAAATCTTAATGGCTAGTCAATGGGGTACTAGTGGCTACCCTAAGCTTGTCCTTGTAATTAGAAAGTGTCACAGTTATCTAGTGCTGCTGTAAGAGTACTACCACAAGTGGGTGGCTTTAACAAATAGAAATCTATTCTCTCACAGTTTAGGAGGCTAGAAGCCCGAATTCAGGGCCCCAGCTCTGGGGGAAGGCTTTCTCTCTCAGCTCTAGGGGAAGGTCCCTTTCATCTTTAAACATCTGTGGGCTTGGTATTCATCTCCATGTGTCTTGGCATCAATCTTCCCCTGGATCTAGGAGGTTCTCAGCACAGGGAACCCAGGTCCAAAAAATGCACTCTGCTCTTGGCTTCTTCTTTCTTGGTGGTACTGAGGTCCCTCCAATCTTTGCTCACTTGTTCATCTCTTTTATATCTCAAAAGAGATTGACAAAATACAACCTAATCCTGTAGATTGTAGATTGTATCCTGTCTCATCAACATCATAGAGATTAGGATTTGCAACATACAGGTTAATTACAACAGATCACAAAACGGAAGATAACTACACAATACTGAGAATCATGGCCGAGCCAAATTGACACTTATTTTTGTCAGTCTATAATGGAAGCAAACCTACGTCCTTAGACCCTATGGATAAGCTGAAGTCACATGTGCGAAGTTACCAACTGAGTCAAAATCTGGAAGACTCACAGCTTTTTGTTCCTCTATGGACACATATAGACCCATGTCATTCTTTTAAACAGTTGCATCATATCCTGCTGTATGAATACACACAGATTGTTTAGCTTGCACATTCCCCTCCTCATCTCAACTTATTTTTCAAAAAAGTAAGCCAAGTTATTTTTGCCATTTGCTAAGTACTAGCCTGAGCATTGATTCATCCAAATCCAAGAGAACTGAAGGTGTACTGTGACATTCCCAGTCCTGTCTGAGCATAGAACAGTTAAACAGAGCCCAGGCTATTTTGGTTTTGGCAGGAAGCCAGGAAGCCCTTCCATTTTGCAAGCAAAGGTTTTAAAGAAGGAGACATCACTTAGAAGGCAGATGAGAGAGCTGAGGGTAAAGGAAACGAAGGGGACTGCTACAGTGCACTCTGCAGAGGTGAGAACCTGCTCATGAGAAGACAAGGTGCTCCATCTCTGGGGGAAGCGGTTGCAAGTTGAAGGTATCTGGATATGGGGCAAGAATGAATGCATTTAAGGGGAGCAACTGGGAAAGGAAACTGTATGCCAATATTCTTCCCATTGCCTGGGGCCTTGGCAGCCCCAGCAGACTCCCTTTCCCCTATCTCACATCCTTTTACCTCCAAGATTCATCTCTTCAGTTATCCGGTACATTCTGTTGTCCACACCTCCCCAGGCCAGAAGCTTACGGTGCCAGCCATGTGTGCCTTCACAGGAATTGAAGTCACTGAAGTTTTATGACTTTGGTATCAGGCTTGGATGCAAACCTGCCTCTGCCACTTACCATATGTCTGACCCATGGACAACTTGCACGAGTGGCATCTTCTGTAAAATACAAATTAACAATACCTTATCTCATATACCACTATGAGTTTTAAATAAGATGCTGTGCAAAGTATGTGGATCATAAAAGGCAAAACTCATTCACTTTTTTTCCAGGAAATCTCACACTTTAAGTCCCATCTCTATTGAGGGGTTCTATCCCTGTTAAAGGAGCTCTGGTAGCATAGTGCCTAAGGCATTTGACTGCTAACCAGAAGGCTGGCAGTTCAAACCCACCAGCCACTCCTCAGAAGAAAGGTTGGGCAATCTACTTCCATAGTGATACCGCCTCAGAAACCCAAGAAGGGGCTGCTATGAGTCGGATCCGACTCCACGGCAGTGAGTTTGGTTTGGTTGGTTTTTCCCCTTCAGCATGCATACATGATATTTCTGTAAGCATATATGTAACATGTATAAACTGATAATGGTGGTTGCTTTTTGGGAGACAAAGGAAGGCTAACATTATGTAGTCCTCTTGAACTTTAAAAAATAAACAAAAAACTATGTGCATATATCTATTCTTCAAAAATAACCAGCGAGTTAGGAAATTAAAAATAAAATAAGCAACTTAAATAAGATTTCTGCGTTGAAGGCCTTGGAGGCATCCTTGGGACCTATGTGGCTTGACCCTTGAAGCAGGTAGATCACTTTTAAAGAACCAAACTGCTCTCCTGGTGCTGGGCTGAGGCAGAAGGCAGAAACACAACAGGCTGTGCTCCTTCACCTCTAGCAATATGTGCTCAGAGCTTCCAGGCCTTAACATCTCTCTACTGCTTCCCAAGATTGGCTGAAAGCCATGTCTGAAAGCTTTGGAGAAAAAGGGCATAGCATAAAGGGGATCACTGAGATGTTAGTCATTTTGAGCTTAAAATAGTGTCCATGCGGTGTCTGAGTTAAGAGTGGTTTCAGAGGGCTTCCTGCTGGACTTGTCAGAGAGCCAGCTTTTTAAAAGCACTAAGGAGCAGCCTCAATCACCACCACCAAAGCTTTAAAGAAGGCAGAGCAAACACCCCACCTCGTGAAAACAGCAAGCCATTCCCTCACCCTGTGTAACCTCCCCCACATCTGTGAAAGCAGAGCTCTGGCAGGTCAGCTTTCCAAAGCCATCGGCTGTGTTCCAAGCCCTACCAACTTGCCACAGCCAGTTTGTGCAGGGATCAGAAACAAGCAGGCTCCCAGAAGAGAAGCACACTCATACCCACACTAGATGGTCAGGGTCCTTCATGGCAGTCTGTCCTGAGACAGCATTTACTTTCACTTTCTGGACACTTGATGAATTCAAGGCAAAGGAGGGGGATGCTGAGCTGGGGGACATCAGAGGCTGATCCAGACCAAACCATCTTGCACAATTTGTCATTTGACAAATGAGGGAGCTAAGGTCACTTGACTGCTAACCAGAAGCCTGGCGGTTCAAACCCACCAGCCACTCCTCGAGAGGAAGGTTGGGCAATCTACTTCTGTAGTGAGACTGCCTCAGAAACCTTAGGAGGGCTTGCTATGAGTTGGGTCCGACTCGACGGCACAAAACAACAACAACAAGGTCAGTTGAGAGGTCAATTGAGTTTTCCTACGTCATAGAGGGTCAGAGTTGGGACTAGTATACAGGATTTTCCCTGTCCCAAAGCTATTTTTTTTATCATCCTAAAACAAAACCACACCAATCGCACTCCCATCAAGTCGATTCAACTCATAGTGACCCCTCCTTGGGTTCCTAAGGCAGTACCTCTATGGAAGTAGATGGCCCAGTCTTCCTTCCGAGGAGTGACTGGTGGCTTTGAACTGCTAGTCTTCTGGTTAGCAGTCAAATGCCTTAAGCACTACACCACCAGAGCTCACAGCTCCTCCCTTAAGGTTGTACTGGGTGATGGAAACAGTTCGCACTCATCAACTAACCAAAAGGTTGATGGTTCAAACCTACCCATCAGCACCATGGAAGAAACGCCTGGCTATCTGCTTTCATAAAGATTACAGCCAAGAAAACCCTGGGAGCCCAGCCCTACTCTGTAACACATGGGGTGGCCATGAGTCAGAATCGACTTGATGGCAATGGACTGCGGGTTTACTCCTTCATTAAGACATGGTTCCTGATGCAGTGGTTTAACCTACTGCTATTGAGTTAATTCTGACTCTTAGCAATCCTACAGCTCAGTGTAGAACTGCCCCATAGGGTTTCCCAGGCTGTAAATCTTTATGGAAGCAGACTGCAGGTGGTTTACAGACATGCAAATAAAAGAAATGACAGTACAAAGCATCCACATGTCCAGAACCTAATGAGTGGTTTCTTCATTGTTGTGAAGTAGAAGAAGAGCCACTGGGGGCTCTTATGAAGAGGAAGCCTTTATGCGGGAGATGGTGGAGCACACATGAGCAGAGTGGAGACTGGCAGTGGATGCAAGTGTGGTGGTGGGACTAAGGGAAAAAATGTGTGTCCACTGAAGACCAGGGCAGTGTGCGTGAAATAGCAATTTCCGGAGTGAAATGTGGGGAGGCAGAGGCAGGCAGTTGTTCAGGAGCTCGATTGCCTGGCTGAGGGCTTGAAGTCCTCATATGTAAGCAGAAGTCATAAAAATGTTCAGAACAAGTGAAGGATCAGGCAGTGCATAAGGCAGTTCCTCAAATGTAAGGACAGGCTGAGGCACAGAGACCAATGTCAACCTATTAAAGCAATGTTGGGGATAACAGTGGTTCAGTGGTAGAATTTACCTTCCATGCATCTGATTCCTGGTCAGTAACACACCCTATGAACAGCCACCATTCTCTTATCAGTGGAGGCTTGCATGTTGCTATGATGTTGAATAGGTTTCAGTGGGGCTTCCAGATGAAGGCAAACTAGGAAGAAAGACCCAGGAATCTACTTCGGAAAATCAGCCTGTGGAAACCCTATGATCACATGGTCCGATCCCATTGTGCACAGGGTTACCATGATTCAGGGCCCGACTTGATGGAGTTAACAACAACAGCAACAAAACAAATATGAATAAGGTGGCAAGGATTTAGATTCAGGAATCAGCAGTAAGTTTGGAAAGGAAAAGAGGACATTAAGGAATTGACGACCAACTGGAAAAAAAGAATAAGTGAGAGAATTAAGAGACGAAATAGCTATAAACAAGGAAAGGTGAGACTTTCTTCCAAAAAAGTGTTATTCTTGAGAGGTCTTTCTTCAAAGCTGATTTGACAAGGTTATTACTCTGCCTGAAACTTTTCAGTAGTTCTATCAAAGCCAAACTCCTTTGCTTCCTTTAAAGACCCTTCATGATGTCATCTCCCTCCTATTTCCAAAGCCTCAGTTTGCTGGTTATAAGAAATAACTAGCAGGTTCCAGAACACATCAGTCCTCTCTGCCTGCCACCTCCCCACCTGGAAAACACTATGCATTTCTCAGGACTCAGCTCAGTGTCAGGTGTGACCATAAAGCCTCCCCTGACTCCTCCCCAGACAGAGGCACAGCCAGCCTTTCCTTTGACCCCACTGTGCTTTCTACACTAGAGAAGCAGTAAATACAGTTTGATTCACCTTACGAACAGTCTGGCTGGTTTGAGTTGGGTTGTGGGGGTTGGAGAAGGTCCCCACTCCTACCCCTCTTCCTCGGATGCAGACTCCCTAACAATGTTTACTTCTCTTAGCCTGCAAAGTCAAGGACCCAGTGTCCCACACAAGCTGAGTAGTCAGTGCCGGGTTCTGAGGCATCTGGAAAGAGAGAAGTCAGATATCAAAGTCACTTATATAGTATTAAGAGCCTCTTCCACCTCCCTTCTCAGGAGAAGATGCAGCTGCCTGAGGACAGGCTCCTGACAGCCAGGCACACACCTGAAGAACCTGAGACACTGGTCCTCAATGAGGTCATTCATCAAGTGGCCCCAGCCTTCAGACGTCCCCATCGCTGCATCTGGCCGGAAAAGGGACAAGGAGTCCAAGGTCACCATATCTCTGAGGAAGACACAGCACCTCCAAGAGCTCTCACAGCTGAGACAAGACAACTAGGGGATCTGTACAAGGTGCTGGGGGGCAAAGGACCTGACTCAAAACCTAGAAATCCAGTCAGCCCCTTGACAGTCCTCCCAGTGGACTATCTTCCCACCCATGAGGGCTACCTACCCTCCAACATAGACTATCTCCCTTCCCAAGAGGCTCCTGGCCCTAACCCTCTGGAAGAACTGGAGCCTCAGCACATCTCCCTTTCTGTTTTCCCCTCAAGTTCCCTTCACCCGCTCAGCTTCTCCTATGGTGAGAAGCTGACTCTGGATCAATTAAAGATGGGGTGTGACTCCCTTGTGCTCTGAGAAATGAGGCTTGTGGCCTATAACATCAGTGAGCCTTCAATCAGCACAGCACACCTCATCTACCCAACCCCTTCTCCAAGAAGGATAAAATTGCATACCACTGGGTGCTGCTGTCAGGTCAGGGTGCTGCGAGAGGGCAGGCAAGCCTTCCTCCACTTCCTCACGTTTCACTTCAGAAATCAAAAAATATAAAACACCTACTACATACCAGGCCTTATTCTGATCAGCACTGTTCAGTAGGACTTTCTGAGATGATAGAAATGTTCTCTATCTGCACTGTCCAATACAGCAGACACTAGCAGTATATGACTACAAACCAACTGAAATGTGTCTAGCAAGACCAAGGAACAGAATTTTGATTATCATTAAAATACCCAGTGGCTACCACATTGGCTGGTGTAGCTCTAGAGGATACACTATTGAAAATTACAGGTAGCCTTCCAAACAAATTAGCCTAGTTTTACAGATGAGGACATAAGACATGCATGAACACCAGTATAAAAGGCCCCCAAGATGATTACTGGGAGCTCATTTGACTGCTAACCAGAAGGCTGGTGGTTCAAACCCACCAGCCATTCCTTGGAAGAAAGATTGGGCAATCTACTTCCGTAGTGATAAAACCAAACACCAAAATCACTGCTGTCAAGTTTAACCCAACTCATAGCAACCCCTCCTTGGGTTTCTGAGGTGGTATCACCTCAGAAATGAAGTAGATTGCCTAACCTTCCTTCCGAGGAGTGGCTGGTGCGTTTGAACCGCCAGCCTTCTGGTTAGCAGTCAAGTGCCTTAGGCACTGTGCTACCAGGGCTCCTTCCATAGTGATACTGCACAGAAAACCCAGGGAGGGATCGCTATGAGTCAGACTTGACTTGATGACAATGAGTTTGGTTTTTTTTGTAGATGATTACTGTCCAATTTGATGAGGTCTATGAATGCACATTTTTCTCATTTTCGCCTAGTTTTGCTTTGTAGGTTTTTTCTTTACTTTCTTTCTTTTTTGCCTTCACGCTCTTTCAGTGAATCAAGAACAGCTTGGAGTCTACTGTAAACCCACTGTAGAACTTTACAAGGCAAGCCTTCCTCACGAAGACTTTAAGCTGCTCCTCAGGCAGCTCAAGTTGAGCCTGGAAGATATTTCGCTTTTCCAAGACATGAACTGGGAATGTAACCCGTCTTTTACACCTGTAAATCTGTGGCCCCTAGCTTGTCATCCTCTGCTCTCCCATCTTTTCCTATGTCTTCACTATCACACTTTTGTGGCCTCTTAAAATCAGTGGGCTCCACCACCGGGCTGGTGGGGAAGCCTTGGTCCAAACTGCTAATAGTTTCCATGTCATTCAGGCAGTACCCTTTCCAAAATAGGATGAAAATCCAAAAAGGATCTTTTTCTTAAATCTTCTCCATGCTCGGGACCTACCCCCACCCCACACACAAAGTCTAACACTGGAACTGCAGCAGTTCTCCACTAACCTTTGAATTTTCATTTAAAAAAAAATTGTTACCGATGTACACTTTTTCCCTAACCCACCGAACTGTCTATGTCCATACTTATTTGCAGCTTCAAAATCATCAAACTCAAACCCACTACTGTCTAGTCAATTCTGACTCATAGTAACCCTATAGGACAGAGTAAAACTGTCCCATGGGGTTTCCAAGGTTATAATCTATACCAAAACAGATCTTTCTCCCTTGGAGGAATTGACTTTTTGGTTAGCAGCCAAGTGCTTTAACCATTGCACCACCATGGCTCCTTGATTCACAGCCCAGTCCTGTACAGATAACTATTTTCAGCCTTTTGAAAGGTTTACCAGACTTCTCTGAATGCTAGAAGTTGAAGAGATGAACATCTGCTTAGCTTGCTCATGTTAAAACTCTACTTATCTTTGCTTCCTGACATCCCAGACCCCACATAGTTAGTATTCCCACACTTTCTTTAAAAAAGCTTTTCTTTAAAAAGTTTAAGGTCCTTCCTTACATTTGTATTTAACTTTGGTGCAAGCACTTCACACCATGATTCCTTGCATCTCAGCATTAGGTGTGGCTTGTTTCTACCCAGGATGTAGTAGCCCTCTTCAAATTGTTTGCAGCAGAGAAGGGTGCCTCCTTAGAAGCAGGCCAACACATTACCTCCTGGCACTGGGAGTTATCTTTACGGTTTTCTTGAAATACCTACTTTCCCTACCTTTGGTTTCCTCTGGATTACATGATATCCATTAGTTGCCTCTGCATCATCCCTTGTCCCCAGTACCCAGCCTCAGTCTCTTTTACCCCTACTCCCTTTTTTCTTCCCTTCAGGCCACAAGTGATAGGTATCACAGTCCTCATTTTTCTCCCTAAAAGAAAAATCTTTAAGTCGCACATCACCTCTTCTGAGAAGGCTTCTGTGACTTTTAGCTGCAGCATATTCCCCTCCTCTGTGCTCTCAGAACACTTACTTCCTCTACTGGACAGTAAACAACTTGAAAGCAGGAACCATGGCATCTGTTTCCCCACCACCATGCTTGGTCCACAGTAGTTGTTGGGTGCCATCAACTTGATTTTGACTCATAGCAACCACAAGTGACAGAGTAGAATTGCCTCATAAGAGTTTTCTAGGCTCTATAATCTGTGAGAGCAGATTACTGGGTCTCTTTCCCCATGGAGCTGCTAGGTGGGTTAAAATTGCCAACTTTCTATCAGCAGCCAAGCAGTTAACTATCATGGCACCACAGCTTGTTTAGTCCATAGTTGTTAGGTGCTGCCAAGTTGGTTCTGTCTCCAAGTGACTTGTGTACGACAGAACAAACCAGTGCCCAGTTCTGCGCCCCCCGCCCCACAATCATTGCTGTTCCTGAGCCCATTGTTGCAGCCACTCTGTCAATTCATCTCGTGCAGGAGCTCCCTCTTTTGCTGACCCTCTACTCTACCAAGTGTGATGCCCTTCTCCAGGGACTAGTCCCTCCTTGCAACTTCTGAAGTACATGAGATGAAGTCTCACCATCTTCCCTTCCAAGGCGCATTCCAGCTGTACTTCTTCCAAGACAGATTTGTTTGTTCTTCCAGCAGTCCATGGTATTTGAAATATTCTTTGCCAATGCCATAATTCAAAAAGGTATCTTCAGTTTCATTTATTCGTTGTCCAGCTTTTGTATGTATATAAGACGACTGAAAATACCATGGGTCAAGTGCATCTTAGTCCCCAAAGTGACATCTTTGCTTAACACAAGTCTTTTGCAGCAGACTTGCCCAGTGAAATATGCTGATTTCTTGACTGCTGCTTCCATGGGCATTGTCAATCCAAGTAAAATGAAATCTTGATCAACTTCAATTATTATTATTAGTTTTTATCATGATGTTGATTGATAAAAAGCAATTCGTCAACATTGTTCCACCTCCTACTTTGGTGAGTAGCGACTAGGATCTTAAAAGCTTGCAAGCTGCGATCTAGATGCAACAATGGGTCTCTCCTCATCCAGAGCAAAAAATGAAGCAAACCAAAAATTGAGAGATACAATCAGTCCTAGCGACTGGTACACCATCCAATCTGCAGCTTATATGACTATGAGACCAGAACTAGATGGTGCCCGGCTACCAATGTCAACCACTTGGAAGGGGATCTATGTAGGAGATCCTGGATAGGGAGGGAGAACAATGTGGACAAAACTCAAAATCATTTGGAGAATAAAAAAAGGGGGGGGGCCAGGTTTCCTGGTCTGATAGAGGCTGGTGGTACCACTGAAACTGTGGCCCCTAGCTGCCCGTCAGGTCTGGAATTGAACCCACACCTGTGGCTTCCAGCGAAACAAAAGACAGGCATATGAGTTGAACATTTACCTGAGGTAGAGACACTCCTTGGAGAGAACAATCTTGGGAGAAAGAAGGGCTGCTTATGCACTGGGAGACAGCTCAGGGGGCAGGAGGGCATGGAGGGATGGACACAGGGAAGAGGTAATTATCGGGAGGAAGTGGGAGGGGAGCCGTTGCATTGTGGTAAATTGTGGTCAATGTCATGAGACAAAGTGTATGTGGACTGCTGTATGGAAAGTGAGTTTGCTCTGTAAATCTTCACCCAAATCACGATAAATAAATAAATAAATAAATTTTAAAAAAGTAATTTGTCATTTGTCACATCTTTAATCTTACTCCTTGTTTCAAAAGTCAGTCTAGCTGTGCCTCCTTACTCTTTTTTGGGACAATTGAGTTTTCCAAGCCTCCATTCTATACTGTTTTCATTAAAGGCACTGCTGTGATATATGTAGAGGAGTTTCTTAACAGACACATTTGAACATGCCATTGACTGCTCACTCTGCCAGACAGAATGTCCTGTTTCCATGAATGACAGGATAACCTTGCTTTGCCCTTGCCAAGTAGTTTCCACAATTCTTTCTCTCCTAGTCAAAACCCCAAATCAGGTTGCCAGGTTTACCAAGTCTAGAAGGAAGGAACTCAATATAATTTATACAGCCAAGCTTTTGTTCCACAAGAAAATGAGCAATTTTAAATCCTCATTCCAAAGCCAATGCAGAAATTTCTGCACTACTGAAACTCGCATATTCCTTAATTCTCTGGGACCTAAATGACTACAAATTGTGTCCCTGAGTTCATTTTTACTGAATTCATGGGAATTTCCACTACCATTTCTTATTTAGTGATTCTTACTATGAATTGTTCCTTGAAAGGGCCTCTTTCCTAGAAGCTTGAGATTCTATTTCCTTGGCCCTCTTCCTTATTGACATTGCCAGTCAATTCTGACTCATGGCAACTGCATGGGTGTCAAAGTAGTACCCTGCTCCAGAGGGTTTTCAATGGCTGATTTTTCAGAAGTATATTGGCAAGCCTTTCTTCCAAGGCACCCCTGGGCATTAACTATTTGCAGCACTGAAAGACTCCTTACAGACATTAGAAAAGTGAAACTATTATCTTCCTCCACTCTCCCAATTTCTCACCTTCCTTTAATAGCCTACAGATGCAACTCACCAATGCCCTGAGGTCAGTGAAAAAGATGCCAAGCTTAGCTCATT